TCATAAGGGTTCAGAAATCCACCCGATTTTTTACTGCCCTTTTCCTGAGTTGAGCTGTTCTGTGAGCCTTTGTGCGGCAGACCTGTCGTGACCCACAGCGGATATGGAAATGGGGCTAAGGTTTTATGGGCCAAACGGATTGGACACAGTCAAGCTCAGGGGGCATGAATATTGGATGTTATTTCTGCTCCCTTTTTATGTAATCCATTGCCAATACATTATTAATAGATGATATCATATCCAGAACTACTGGACAAAGCACTACAGAGGGGTGCTATGAAAGGAGCTCTATGTGGTGGAGACTGTGGCAGAAAATACAGTTCAAGTGATATTATTTTATCACTGTAGCCTAACACTCCCTGACCAGGCAATCTTTACAGTGTAATTTTTGGACTAAGTGAAGTTCATAGAAGGAAAATATGGTGAATACTGTATTTCTACCAGGGGTAAATCCTGCATTTGTGGGTTTGAAATGCACTGAAACATTGATGAAGTATCAAATGACACCCAAATACAAGTTTAATGGATTTTGAAGCACTGGGATACTTTGCTCATCCTTCACGACTGCAGTGAGTGAAGTGGAAATCTTTGCAAGGATCTTGAGTTTTCCTAGCAAAGCTGACTCCCAGTGTACAGTAGCAGGGGAGCAGTGTCTTATCTGATGTACCAATTCACAGACAGGAGACTGTGCTAATGTGGGACTATTTGAAAAAAAAAAAAAAAAAAAAGGGTCAGATTCCCTGTTTTGATTCAAATGTGAAATTGTTCAAAAAAGGTCAGATTCCCTATTTTGATTCATTGTGATCTCAAAAGTTATGAACTCGAGTTGCTAGTGCAGTTTTTATGAGTCACAGCAGCAGTATCCTACTCATGTATAAACTTCTGGAGAGTTGCAGCTGCTTTTTCTTTCCCCTGCACAAAACACATCACTCAGCAGTTACACAAATCCTGTCTGTCCAAGAGCAAATCCTTAAAAAGTACTTCTCAGCACTGCCCATCCAGTGCAGAAGATAAACGATTGTCCACCTTTTAGGTTTATGGCCTGTCTCGATACTACTGTACACATGTTGGCACAAACGTATTATCACATAAACATCCAATAAAAGTGAATGTATAAGCCCTTCAATAAGAGTTACATAGGGAGTGGATGCGTAAGGTAATATTCTCTTTTTAAGGTCAGTTTGAATTGTTTTTTCTCATGGGAAACGGCAGATTGATAAAGAGCAAACAAAACCTCTTTTCTGAATGCTTGTCCTCCATGGCCTCAATGAAGGTTTCATTCCTTTATATCATCCAGCCCAATTCCCAGCATGCACGGCCATTGTGGCTCTTTCAACTGGAGCTCTCCATTGACTGGCTCATTGTCCGGCCGCTCTTTTGTGTGCGCTATCACCGGAGCACAATCTTTCACCTGAACAGCACAGGAGCACAGCCTGGACATGGTCACGTAAAAGCTTCTGAGTCACCCGTGTAGATGCCAGGCTGCACAATTAACACAGCACTAATGAAGAAATATTTATTACATGTATATCAACTTTTTTTTTTTTTTTTTTTTTTTAAATCTCTGGTGATGCTTGTTAATAAGGTGGATATTACTCATGCTCAGGCTAGGAGATGTTCAATATTAACACTCAGGCTTATATTATTGAGAGGAGGTTTTTTGAAATATAACAATGCGCGAGCAGATGTTTGAAGCGTGGCCCTCGGCAACACAAGGCTAGTTAAGATCGATATTGCTTTCAATATTTCTTTCCTTTGACAGATAACCAGTACCCGAGGAAAGTCTTGATAAGAGTGGCAACATATGGATGTGGCGAGCCTCGCTCTCTTTTGATTGCGTGACCCCGTGACCTTTGCCTGTGTTTGAGAGGGAGGCAGCCACATGGTATGGTGGGGGTCTGTCAGGCTCTGGTTATGGGGCATTATTGACCCAGGATTTATAAATATTTAATGCACACATTAAGATCATGGTGGAGGGTGGCCATTAGAGTTCTCCAATAAAGAGGCTCTCACGATGATTGAGTGGTGTGGCAGAGCTAGTGGCTGGTTGCTGGGTACAGTGAAACTTGCTGAGACAATATACTGTACCTCCAGCCTTCCTGCCAGGCTCCGGAGCTCGTAAAACTTGCAACAACTGAGCAAACTTGTCTTTATTTCTTTTCTTTTTTTTTTTTTTATCTTACTTTTACCCTCAGAATTTGCCCTTTTTTTTCACAGTGCCTGTTTATGTTCTGTCGGTTGTTGTTTCTGCGATGACGGACAGTTTCCTTCGTTTCATTAATAGGGCAGTTAAGACTAAATAAACATACAGTTTGTGCAAGATTTTGCCATGGAATAACAGAGAGCGCAACGAGCAAGGCGATAGATCCAAACCTGTGTATGTGTATCTGAAACAGATAATGCAATGTCAGGAAGCAGATGTGTGGCTATTGTTATCAGACACGTTGGATTATCGAGGGAATGATTTGGAGCGCAGGGCGATCGCAGCTGAAAATTAAATCGCTCTTTTGAGTGTATCTGTCCTTTGCGCTATCAGCAGCTCCTGGACTATCGGCCGTGCCGCGAGATCTGTGCATGCTGGTTGACATAATAAGCTGTGATATGCTGATTGCCACTCAGGCTGCCGTCGTTTAATTGTGCATTAAAGGCAGGGGTGGCTTCGGACAATGTTGCCTTGATGAGAAATTGACATTTTGTGACCTGCTCAGGATGCCAGATAAGATGCTCAGTTGTTTTTAAGGAGAACCACTATTCTTCCCTCAAACACTTCTATCCTTCTGTTTGACCCACTTGATGAGTATAGATTTCACAGTGGCCCCCCTTTCAGCGCTCAAACTATAAGAGGTTCAAAACGATACCAGCCCTTATAGACAAAGGATAACCTTGCTCTTTCAATGTATTGATTCTTTATTAACTAGGTGGCTTAATGCAATAAAATGAGGGATTTGAATGAGCCCCATTTGGGGTGCTTTGAATAAAAAGCTCGCACTGTTTATGAATGACTACAATGAACCTTTGAAGCACCACAGATGCAGGATACGCTGATACAAAGACCAGTAGGAATATGCAACAATGTCAGAGTGCTGTGCTGAAATAATATGAGTAAAGAGCAGTTTTCATCTTTTATGGATGTTACACTTTTCCACAGGTTTCAAACAATTATCTCTATGGCAAAGTCATGGCAAACACTACAACTTACAGACGAATCACAGGTTTGTCCTCAGAGGTTTCTACTGTCTTTTTTTCTTTGTCCTGATTGTCAGTTTGTCTGCCAGCCAAACTGTACTTAAAACTGAAGAAGTCCACAGTTGAGGAGCTATTGTGTTTTTACTGAAAATTTTAATAAAACATCACTTATTCATTTCTGTTTCCATTCCAAATGTTGACATTTTTAAATTTTCTTCCCTGTAAACACATGTAAGCTATGTGGCAGAGTCATAAGTGGTGAGTAAAAATGACTTCTATACATTCTACAAAACAGAAAAAAATACAACCACAGATGGAGTGTTTTTTTTATCTCCAAGGTTGTCCCTCATGCACATTAGTCTCTATTGGATCTTAACAACTATCATATGGGTCACAAACAATTTATTTGACAATACAACCAACAAAGTTTTCTCCAAAATGGTCTGTATAGATAATTTAAAATCAATATAAAAATAAACAATGAAGTTTGACTTCCCCTTTAAAAAATGGACAGAGAGTCTTGACGGAGTAACACAAATTTTTGAGGATACACATGAAATATATGCACATTGCATTTCATCAAATACAAAAAGAAAACAAATGAAGGCAACAGTTCTTGGCTGAATTATCTGTGCTGCATCACTATATTAAGGGCATGACGATTAATACATACATAATGAAAAGCAATATACAAAATTTCAGAGATAAATACATTATTTATAGTTGATATGTTACAAAATTTCCCTCAGTGAGCGCAAGTGTGTGTTTGAACAGAAATATGACAATGAACTACTATACTCCTACATTCTCAATGGATTTTAATTTTGTTTTTTTAAATGTTTTTTTGTTGATCTAAAAGAACATGAAAAAGACAGATGTATAAATATTTAGCACAAGTTTGGCAATATCACAATAGTCTACAATTTTTAACCACATATAAAACACATAAGGGAGTTGGAGCTAGAGGGGGGAGACTGCTCCTCATCAACAAGAAACAGACTTCACAGTAGCCTAGGAATGCATTAATATACAGTGCTAGCAAAAAAGTTGAAAAACATGGCAAAACACACTTGCTTAAAAGGAAGCTCTAGACATGGAAGTACATCATATTCATCAACAGAGCAGTGTTTTGTACACGTCAGTGTGCTTGTTGAATCGAAGAGGATTTTTTTTTTTACTTTTGAAGATGATTTCTAGCTACAATAAATTACAAAATTTAAGTTAAAATGCAGGAATGAAACATGATACATCCTTACCCACCCAGCCCCGCCCCTTTTACTCGTATTTGTTGTACTTTTATGATCAATTTTCTACATTATATATCTCATATATTTTCCAGTTGAAATTCAAACTGTCTTGGCCCCTGTGTATTTTTCTCACACATAAAAATACAAAAAAGTCACATTATAAAGACACACAACTGTTGTGAATCTATTAAAAGAGAGTTGAAACAGAAAAAACAATTTCTGAGGCAAACAAGTTCATTGGCAAATGTACTGTACATCAGTGTTTTTACTTTACAACCAGATGGTGAGTCCACAGAGTCCCTTCCAGTATTGAATGTGTGGTTGATTGGACATATCCGAGGCCGACGCACAACCCGACAGGTATACAAAATAAACCCTCCATCATCCCGTGTCCTCTTCAAGGGTGATAAAATGGAGAGAAAAAAAATAAACAAAAGAAAAAAAAAATCCCCACAGAAAAAAAATATTGTTCCTTGTGAAATCCTTTTTTTCTGTAGGTTGGTGAAAGTCATTTAAAAGAAAAAAAAAAAATCATTTCTTTCTTTTTCTTTTTTTTTTCTTCATCTTTAAAAACAGAACAAGCGGTTGACTATACATTACACCAGCGTTTTGCGGTGTGCTGAGGGAGAGAGAGAGAGAGAGGGGGGTGGGGGGTCCTCTGAAGTGGTAGTGTGTAGACTGGTGCTTGAGATGATGAAAGTGCATTTACATTGGAGGGACAACCAGGCCGGACATGGCTGGAGAAAACAGAGACAGAGAGGAAAAAAAGATTAATTTATTGGGGCTAAAACAGGCATGGATATAAATATGAAAAATTATTAAAATGTTGTAATTTACTGTGTGTGCATGTATGCATGTGTATATGTATGTGCATGTGCGTGTGTGTGTGTGTGTGTGTGTGTGTGTGTGTGTGTGTGTGTGTGTGTCCAGCCATCTGACGGTGCACAAGTGCGTGAATGTATGCCTTAATGTGCCTGTTTGCGTATGTGCCTGTGAGTGTTTGCCGTGTCCACCAGCCTGCTGCTGCACGTCCTCCTAACAGGGAGAGTTTGAAAACCTCCCTCCTGCTCTGACATTTCAGCCCCCAGCACGCCAGTCTTGCTATGTGTGATATTTCTCCTGGCGTTGGGGTAATGGCAAACAGTGGCCCAGACTCCCAGGAGACGCGGCCGTGGTGACGGCAGAGCAACAACACGGTCACTTCCCACAATGCCACAATGCTACAGTACTAGACACTCCTCAGACTCCCCTCAGATTCCTTCTATCGCTTCCTCTCCTCCCCTCATCTCTTTATCCTCAACTCTCCCAACACTCTACATCGCATTAGTTCCTGCATTTCCACATTCCCCAAGTCGTGCCTCTGCGTCATTATCCAAGAGAGATTAGGCAAGATCAAAGGTAGCTTCCGTTATTTTACCAGGACCATCTGCTTAGGATATCATTAGCAACTGTACCTCACCCTGAGAGTTTATATATTCAGTATTTTCACACGTTTTAACAATTAGGCGACTAGTGAAGTGCTGGGATGATATATTATTATATTGCTCTGAGTATATTTGTAGAGTCATGGTTGAAATGCTTTTAAGTTTGCCAGCGCAGATGATGGCAAGGCATTGCTCATTAATTTCTGCACAACATGTATTAATAAGTATGAACGTGTAGCAAGATGAACTTTAATTTCCCACTTCATTAAGCCCAATGTTATTAATCTTGGGGCACACACTACGGCTAAGCTTGTTTTCAAAGCAATCATGTTGGTCATGACACATGCACAAAACCTAATAAACATAATTACTAAAACAATTCTGGGAAGGTCTTTTCCTGCGACATCAGAGGAGATCATTTGTATGAAAGGGCAACAAGGATGTATGTTTGCATGTATGTGCGCACAGACGTGAGACGACGCTTGCAGTCCTATACTTGCGTTTCTGTGTGTGCGTAAAGAGATGCTCTGTGTGTGTGTGTGTGTGTGTGTGTGTGTGTGTGTGTTTGAGTGTGAACTGAAAGGTGTAAATTGGCCTGTCAAAATGCATATATTTGTAATGATTAATCCCTCACCAAACCGGACAGAGGCCTGAGCAGCGGTATCTGACCAGTAGTCCGTAGGGAAGGGATGAGGGGGTGAGGGGGGCTCACCTTGCAGTCCGTTGCCGTTGGCGCTGGTGCAGGAGGGGGGTGGGGAGGCCTGGGGTCGGACCACAGGGGCGAAGGCGCTCTTTTGTTTAACTGCAGAGACGATAGGGGAGGAAAAGAGAGGAGGGGAGGGTGAGAGTGAGAACGTGCTGTGAGTAGTGCTCGAGAGGGAAAGGGCAGTTAAGGTAAGGCTGGGATAGTATTTCTGCCAGGGGGGATACACGATCAGTACTCACAGGCCCCAACCATCAACATCTTGTCCGGTTGAACAAATACAGGTGGCATACGGCGAAATACACATAAAAATGAGTATTTCTCCTGTTCTGAGCTACATGTGTGTTCTCCGAAGTACTAAAGCTAAACAAGCCTCCGTGAATGAATAGTAATATATTATCACCATCAATAATGTTATAACCCTGTCAGAAGTGATTCATAGAAGTGAAAACGAATGTGGGAGCTGGAATTAAATCAACAGCAGCTTAGTGCTACTACAGCGTGTGATAGTGGCAAGCTACTCACTTCCATATGGGGAGTTGGCAGAGGATCCGTTGAGGAACCCAGGGGAGCTTGGCACTCCCAGGTTCATACCGGCATTGCCGTAGCCATTCATGCTGTTGCTGACGGTGTTGTAGCTCGACTGCTGCGGGGTGCTGCTGGAGATGTAGCCCCGGGGGGACACGCTGCTGGTGTTCCGGCTGTAGCCCACTGAATAACACAGGTGGAGGATGGAGAGGGGAAATTCATTCATTCCTTCCCTTCTGTACAGTGTTTACCAGGGAAATGTTCACTGATTACAGTAAATGATAATGGAAATTTGCTGCTGCAATCAAACATTTTTATATCAGCACATCCTGCAGATGCCAGTTTATTAAGAAAAGAATTTGGCTCTTAATTGGACCCTTTAGCTCCCTGTATTGTTAGCGAGGATGGGGGCAGAGAGCCTGGCGTTCAAAAACAATTTCTACCCTTTTTTTTTTTTTTCTTTTTTCATTTTAATGAATGAAAAAAACAAACAAACTGAAATTTAACTATTTCTCATGCTGCAAACTCCCCCCTTTGGAATTCCCTCAGCTCCCTGGACCCCACTTTTGAGAACCACTGAGTTATGGAGCTGTACCCTAAATCACATACCTTGGTCATTCCCTTGTGACTCAGACACATTGACTGCTAGCTGGCTGCTGAAGGAGTTGACTCCCATCATGCCGTGGGAGGCTGTGTTAGCGAGAGAGGGGATCTGGTTGTGGTTGCGGGGAACGCTGTACAGGGCCTCAGCGATGTCAGCTGCCCTCTTCAGAATGATCTCCTGAGAAGCAAAGAGAAGGCAGAGGTTTTGTTATTTATGGTTTTTTTTTATTTTTTTTTTTTATAGCTTTGCTTTTGCTTTGATGCACGGTTCATTGCTATATGTTTAACTCACAACGCATGTAGCCTACATTGTTCCAGATATAGTGGTGAAAATACCCTTTGGTGATACTATACAAAATTTTCAATGGTTTCTTATTTAGCAGAGGTATAAGCACGCAGGAGCGGCTGCGCGGATACAGACCTGATTGTTGTGGGGCATTCCATACAGGGCTTCAACGAGATCAGCCGCCCTCTTCAGTAACACCTCCTGATGAGGAAAACAGGAAGAGTAAACGTTAAGAGCCGGGCAGATTATGTGCGAGTTGACCCCAGTTGTTTCTTACAGTAACAAACAATATCACAAACAACATTACACAGCAGGGTCGTGGAGATACTTAGAAATGTTTACATATTCAACCGCCTAAATAAACGCCACCCTGATTTAAGAGGCACGAGTGCTGCATTTATACAGCACTACCACTTTGCTCCTTCCAACCATGCAGAGCAGTGAATAATGTTCCCTATCTTAATTAAACTGGCATACTCCTTTAAAAACAACACCTCACCCCTGATTCTGGGCTTCACGTTTGCTCCGGAGTTCAGCGCCGAGTCCCCTCTCTTCAGAACAATAAAGTGAATTAGCTCTGGGTTAATCTAGTTCTGTTGTAATGACATTAAGGAATTTTTCAATTAACCTCTTTGACTGGCTGTTGCAAAGGACTTCACAAATGACTTCCCATCCAGCAAGAGCTGGGTGCTTGTGCCTTGGGGACACGGATGCTCAGGATGTGGTCTTATCCATGTCTGCATGCTTGCCCCCGCTTGACAATGCGGATTAGCTGTGTTGCTTTGGCTCTTAACACTGAAAATGAGTTGGCCCCGGATCCTGTTCCCCCCACTCTGTTTTGGGCTTTCAGCTAGGTGGGGTTTGGCCCGTTTGTGTGTCTTTATCTGCTCTTTGAATTCAGCACTTACAATTAAATCCCTCTCAAGCAACCAGACTGCTCTCTTTGTTTTCTATAATACAGAAGGCAATATGCTCTATGAAAACCCTCTCCTCCTTTTAGAGTGCATTTAATCTGACAAAGGCAAGTTGCAGACATGGCTGTTGCGTGTGTTTTTAAAATGCTCGCTTGTTGTCACCTGCTGTAGAGCAGAGATTTGTCGACTGTGCTGTTAGAACCCTGGTTAAAAGCAATGCAAATCTGTCACCAGAAACATCTCAGATGGTGCTTGTTTTCTTCCCACATTCGCTATGTTTTCTTTTGCGGGCCTCGGTAATTTGTCTGAAGTGTTCCATCACTTGGCAATAGCAGTGTGGGATTAAGACGGCAGCTGCCGTAAATGAATGTAAACACAGCCTTCGCGCCTTCAAACAGCGGCCTCCAAGACTTGGCCTGCATTTCCAAGGCACAGCGTATGTAGTGTGCTCGGAGTGTGTGTATGGGCCCTTTCATCCTGAGGAGCATATCTACCACAGTCCTTGATTTATCAAGATGAATCACTGTAGAAGCCACTTCCAGCGTATGCCATGCTCTCTTATAGAAACATATCGCTTAATCCACCCCACGTTACCGGATGGGTGGCTCTTAGAATGGGCATTTACCTCTGAAATTGGTGTGTATGCTCAACGTTGCATGCATCTAGTTTGCATACAAATAAAGAATTATGGTTGTCGTGAGGCAGGTAGACTAAATGAGAGGACCAGCTGTCTTGATGTGTTCTCATCAGGCAGAACAGATTTCTCTCTCTCTTGCTGAGTGAGATAAAGTGGTTTTCTTTCTTTTTGTCTGCAGTTAATAATTACCAATAATCTATTCTATCATATTTCAAGATCTCCTACATGGCTCTCAATTTTAAACAACAATTAAAGCAATTAAGACTGTCGCGTTCGCAAGCCATGTTTCATTCTCTTTAAAACGTCCTCTCCCTCCTTGTCCATATGGTACTTTGCAGCAGTGACATAAGGACAGCTTGGAAAAAAGAGAGAAAACGATATTGCCTCTCATCCTTAATCTGTCGTTTACCGCGTGGTGTCTTAACTAACCAAGCTCACTCGCAAGGCTATGCTTAAGTGGCAACCTAGTCATATCCGAGGATGATGAGAAGTGCTGCACCCAATCAAGGAAGAAGTTTGTTTTCTTCTGACGAGACGCTTTCATGCGTATCAGCTCACGCTGTGAATACGATTAACACGGAATAGTGTTCTGAGGGCATTTCCATGTAAATCTCAATACTACTCCAGCATAAGTGTAATTGGCTTTCTTGTCATGGAGACATATCAGAACACACCATGTTAAATTGAAACAATTAAAGGCCTCAAATGATTTCTGTTGTTCTGTGACAAATGCGTGACAGATTTCTGCTATTGTTTGCCTTGCTTTGCATAAAGGTCTCGTGTTCAACAACTGCTTAAATGGGGCTGCTCAGATGACAGATCACCTAAGATTTAGAAGCTGTTTTACATTATTGCAGAGCAAAGAAAAAAAAGAAAAGAAAAAATTTAGAGAAAGCCATAACAAATGATGTGTTATAAAAAATATCTAACAATAAGACGACATGGTCTAAAACAGCCGGAATGTGATTCTTCAAGCACTAGATTAACATGGATGTTGTATTTATATTATCACAGTTAATAAAAGAGGGCCTAGGTTATGTAGCTTGGAGTGCTAATGCCATTATAAAACTGTAAGGCAATTACTCTGTTAGCTCTAGCCTGAGGTAATGAATGCATTTAGAAGCATAGGGCCATTAGATGAAGGTACTTCAAAGAGCACAGGAAGAGAGATTCATTTAAATACATGGGTAATTGCTTGACATGAACACATTTGTAATATTTTCTCCTTGTGGATTACACAAAGAATTGGAAAAGAATGGGCTTATGCTCATTTTGGGAGGAAAGAAAAGAATCCAAAGCAATCAGCTTAATAATAAAACAATATTGAGTTTCCACTTTTAATTTCATAATGAATCTAATTTGTTACAGAAGAGAGAAATTGAGTGTGATATAATGTGATATCCAGTCTATTTGTCCATTACTGCCAGAGGGCACAAAATGGTATTATAAATTGTCTTTTTTATATTATGAATAGAAAATTGTTTTATAACAAGATCTTAAAAAGGAGGGTGAATTCCAAAGTCTCTCTTCACTTAACGCGATGCCCGCAAACCAATCTCCTTTCTCATCACTTGACTGCTCACACTTATTACTTTCATATTCACCCTGGACTTTGCATTGAATTTTTATATCTCCACTCCTCCCACAGGGTCAGACTGTCATCTACGATGTTGTCTTAGAATTACGAGGTAAACTTCAATCAGAGGCAGCTTCCCCCCTTTTTTTCTCTGTGTAGCAACAATATTAGCGTGCATCCCTTGCTATCCATGAGCACTCCCATATTGGCTTTCTGTCTCCTTACAATTACCACGTGTCTTACTGGTCCCAGGGAGAAGGCTGGTGGAAATCAATAGCGCAGTAATATTATCAACTGGAGGGTGAAGTCATGGGAAGGGGGGGGGGGTAGAGGCGGTGAGTGGGCTTGGTGTCGATTTGCCTTTCCGCTAATGCACACCGCGCGTCCTCCAGCTTTATCTTCTTTTTATAGAGTCTCCCTACCTCACCTGCACCCTGTAATGGCTGTTCTCTATATGCCGTTTCTGTTCTCATTCCAAATGTACATGCCAGCCTCAGCACGCCGCGGGCTGTTTTATTGGGAATGTGCTTTTGACCCCGAGAGCTGACCCTCAGATGGCAAGCTTAACAATGACGAATCACTTGGTGGGATCATTTACATGCCCCCTGAACCCCATATTTGGGTCCATTAGAGAGCAAATCAAATATTTATGTTGTTTATTGGAAGTGCAGGGTTTCATCTCACTCTGTGATTGTTTCATGCAAAGGCTGGGAGACCGTGCTATATTAAGTATACGCACACCCAGGAAACTAATCTTGGGTTCAGTGTCAAAACCTGTCTCACAGCCAACGACGCTTTGTATCCAAGGAAAGAAGTAAGGTTTCTCTGTAATAACGCTGTGTTTAACATTGTTGCTCTCTTTGTTCAAAAGATGTGGACTTTGCAAAGACACTGTGACTTTATAACATAGAAACAGTGAGCGCCTAGATTGACCGGTGACGCTGGAGGAGACAGAGAGAGCCATGTGGATATTAAAGGTAAGTGTACTTTACCTTTTAGTCTACGTTTACAGTTGAAATTAGAGTAACATTTCATGTCTGGGTGTTGTTTCCTGTCTCCACAGGGACCGAGTCTAATTGAAACACTTCATATACTGAACCAGGGACTTGCTGTGATGTTCCATTTCTCCACATTGCCTTGGTCAAACGTCTATAGCTACCACACAGTCTGTTCTTTATTAAATTGTCCGTTGGACGTTAATGATATTGCTGTGTTGCATGCTGGGATTTAATAGATAAGGTCTTTAAAGGTTTTACAGTATTATTAAAACTCTGAGGTGGCCACCACTTCACTGCATGCCGAGGGGTTCTGAATGTACTAATCAGTCATATTATTACACTTGACACATCTGGAACGTCAGTCACAAAAATGGTTACTGGCAGGGTAGCAATTAGTGAAAACACACAGATAGATTTTATCAATAGGAAATGGAAAGAGTAAGAGAATCAAAGGGAATGAAAAGAATAAAAGAATCAAAGAGTTTCTGCAGGGGAGGGAAAAAAAAACAAAAAACCTGTGCACCTTAGTTTTCATGCTCAAGTCTTTCAATATGGCAGCCTATTTGTGTGCCACACCACTGTGTCTAAAACTGATGAGGCTTTCAACTCCTTCACCCAGGTTCAAAAGAAAACAATAAGAAAGCCAAAGCATAATAACATGCAGTCTTTGTCTATTAGCTGCAGTAAGACTAGGGGGTTTACGGCACAGGGTTCTGTAAACAAAAGATTAAACCAAATCGAGCTGCAGAAAATGAAAGGAAAACATGAGTGGGGTAATGAGGGTGCAGACGTCGTTTCTGACCAGATTACCATCTCCACAGACTACTGGAGAGGAAAACGCCTGATTGAGCTATTTTACCACACAGAGAGTTTACGCCTCTCTCCACACACAAAACCAATACCATTACCACGCTGGTTAGTGGGTAAGCCACATATGTGAAGCAAAGCTGTTACGGTTTGGGGTCACAGTGCTCTGCTTTGATGGTAATGTTGTTTTGTTTATTTGTCACATTCAAAGTATTAAGGCCCTATAACCCAGACAGCTCTGTCTCTTTTGCTGTTTGCTGTATTTTTTTTTATTTTTTTTTATGCTGCAGAGACACCGGACTGACCTTTGGTAACCTCTCAGGATCGCCGGGGTGTCTGGGGATGACCTTCTGCAGCCTCTGGAAACCATAGTCGATGGTTGGCTCGTTCAGGGCTGAAAGAGAGAAAAGGAAGGTTGAAAATTAGAATCATTTCAGGACTAATTTTGCCAGAGAGAGGAAAAAAACTAATTGAGAAATCTGTTAGAGTTTACAGTACAAAAGTCATTTCAGAATGCCTAATTTCAAAGAAACCTCAGGGGTGAGGGGATGTTTTATGAATCATCAGCGGCTCCGGGGGGGGGGGGCAAGTGAAGGAAAATGACAAGGGTTCCTCTGACACTTGTGTCACCAAGTGTTATTCCATTAACAGCCATGATGCCCTACATCAGTCTGAGAATCCTTCCAAGGAGACCCTCCCCCTTTTTATCTGCTTGAGAATATTGACTACAGCAAACTACATAGCGGGGGTCTTTTAATCTAACAGAGCTTTAATAATCTGTGAAAGGCTGTCCACACATTGATCTAGTGTAGGTTGCTGTCATTTCATCCTTCTGCACCAACTGTACTGCAACACTGGGCCCATGAAATACGGCAGCAGATCCCATGCAGCCATTAATCTCTCCCACCCCTCAAATAGTAATCTGGGGCATGAGGCATATTGGGCGATGAATCAGAGGCACAAAGTAAATGAATCATAACCCAGACTTTGGTGAGAGCAGGGCGTTTTATGTCTGACAGTCCTAATGGGTAATTGAAGGCTTCCTTACAGCTCCGCCTGATTCTAAACAATCATGTGTACACTCATAGGCAGGACAAGGCGAGGGAGGGAGGGCAGAGGAGAGAAGGAGGGGAGGAGGGGAGGAAAGGAGGAGAGCAGTGTAAAAGGGGGAAGGAACGACTTAATAGAGAACATCACTTCTCAATGTAGATATCATTTTCAGGAGAGTAACTCCGCCGAGCAAGGCGCTTCATAAATCAATGGCTTTCTATGGAGACTAATAAGAGCTGCCTGCCTCTATTCATTGTTCAGCCTGTAATTTGGCCCATCACTCATTACTCAGCATGTAATTTCAGCATTAACACCGCACAGCTCGCTGAACCTGCTGAACACCAGAGAATGTGAAAGCAAGCGATCGCCCCCCCATACACACACACACACACACACACACAGACGCAGGCAGGCAGGCAGGCAGGGCCACTGAAGCACAATCCAGGCAGTCACAGCAGGAAACTGAACATTTATGTTTCTTACTCTTTCTTTTGTTCCCTCTCATCTATGTACACATGCAAGCATGCTTACACACAACCTACACACAAACACACACACATCCTCTATCTACTCATGCATACATACAGCAGTCATGTACTCACACACATGCGCCACTTCTGCCAAAACCTGAATACAGTAATTGCCAGCTCGACCGTGATCAAACGGAGCAATTATGTGTTCAAGCATGGACAATGCAGGGTGCTAATCGATAGCAAGGATCTAGCTTGCAAATACAGTGGTATTCAGCCTCTGCTGCCCGGGCACACCTGAATAAACCCACACGCCACGACAACATACACTGCTGGAAATCTGATTTGACATGTCATCATGCGTCCTGAAACGACAAGGGTCTGCTTTGGAATGTGGGGGAACGCCATCTTCTCTTTAATAAAGGATTGATCTGCGGTATTGATCGTACATGACAAGGCTGTAGCGAGGAATTTGCCCCCTTTCTTTTGTTATTTCCACCCCCTTTCTTATCTATGCACTCTGGCGGTCTCATACATGTGTACATGTGTACACACAGGAGCATGCATATCTGTGTGTGTGTGTGTGTGTGTGTGTGTGTGTGTGTGTGTGTGTGTGTGTGTGCGTGTGTGTGTGTGTGTGTGTGTGTGTGTGTGTGTGTGACTGCACGTGCCCGGCTGAGAGAGTGTATGTGCATGTCAGCCCTGCCAGACCCCGCTGCTCAGTGTGATGTAAATTGTGTATGTGTAAAAAGCACTCCATAATCAGGCCATCCATCATCAGAGGCTGTCAGTGGGCTCTCTCAGGGTGATACATCACGCTCTCCTGTCCTCTGCCTCAGCTGGGGCCTACACAACCCGCCAGGCATGCTGGGAACACAGCCGGAGAGACGTACAGTACAGGACAAGACCTAGGTTGGGCGAGGTGTTCTGTTTGATGTTCCTTTCCAATGATAATGACGCCTTACTGTAAAAGCAGACCTAAGAATTATGAATGTGATTTGGAGGGTATCCTGTAGTCTGAAAGAACAGTTTTTTAAAAAAGTTTATGTACAGTATTAAATGCTTTCATACGGGGAATATGGAATCAAAACTGTTATTTACACTTGTCTCAGCCTGGGTTTAAAACATGGCTCAGTGTTATGCAGTTGCAGTTAAGCGTCAGGCATGATCTCCACATGTCGACATGTCGCCGTCTCATCTATCATGGAGATGATCTTTGTAACAACCCCAGCGTAATGAAATTGGTGACACAGACCGCCATCTGCTATTGATTTCATGCAAATGCTTTTGACAGCTGATGGAGACTTGCATTAGCGCTAAACGGTGCTGTCAGTTGATGAGTTGACAGTTTTGTAGTCATAGCATGTACACTGGTGCAGACAGACACAGACAATGTCAATAATCCTGTAAGAGCTGCTGATGATATATACTGAGCACTTATATTCAATCTGGACAATAAATGTGTTATGTGTGTATTCATCGCGTTGCTCCGCACATTTTTTCTTCCCAGGAAAGATTTTCTTTCATCTGCTGAGCTTTTACAAGAATCATTGGGACTGCTCCTCTTACTTTTTCTCACACCACACACATTGACGGCGACCTTTTCCTCCCCTTTTACTCCCACCTCCTCACCCCGTGTCTTTTTTAATCCTTGGCACATCATTATGTTCCAACTTCACACTCTGTCGTAAACTTTACTCTCCTCTAAAGATATAATGGGCAAATCTAGCTCTGCGATGCCCTCGCATGACTCCATGCATGCCAAAATCAGTTTGGCCCTCCTCGTCCTTCCAACACAATATGGTGAAGGAACGGGGGGGCTGAGGGTGTGGAAGTGCATACCCCCGCCCCCCCACCCCGCATTACCCCTCCTGTAAGGGTTCTCAGTCGCTGCAAGGAAACATGAAACCCTCCACACACATCCCATAAATCCTGCACTGGGTGGGGAGTCTAGCCGAGGGGAGGAGGGAAGGTGGGGGAAACTGGGAGGAGGTACGATGGGGGTGGGGGGTAGGGGTGGGGGGGGTCGCTGGCACGTTCCAGTCACGCCCGCTTCCCGGCCCGCGGCCAATCAATACCACTTTCCTGTTTTAGAGGCGGGTAATTATGAGGTGGAGAGATTGTGTGACCTCTCACCCCTGCTGCATTACTCGCCTGATATTAAGATAAATTGCCTGATTTTGGGTAAACATATGCTGCAATTCAAACTGTCAGCACTGGTTTGCTCAGGGATAATTTGTATTGATCTCCTGGCTTCTTCCCCATTTTGCTTACTGACCTCATGGATAATTAGAGAAAAAGAGACACAGGGAGGTAAGGCAGGGCTTGCATTTGAATACTTTGCAGGAGAGATGAAGAGCACATGGGAGGGGGGGCGGGGGGGGGCAGAGGGAACATTATGGACTAATAGAATTTTCATTTTCTCTCATCTTCTGCTCGGATTTAGACAGGTTGCATGTTTTGTTCAATTACATGGCTTATATCTCTTTCCCTGCTTGTGTTACATTTACAGAGATATAATTGTTCATAGATTTGTTTCCATGGTTTAATTTCAGAGATGATTAGAATTTAACAAAAGCAATGAGACAGCAAAAGTGACAGCAAATACGTTTGAAATTTAACAGCAAAAGAATTATTTCCACGTATGAGTAAAAATCAACACGATAAGATGACTAAAAGATTCTGCGTCTTTTTCATCCACGTATGGATGAATTTTTTTTATGAATATTTCAGTAATTTTTCTCACTCAGGAGGGCCAACGATCGTGTTTCAGAATATGAAGAGATGGAATGCATGACTCGGTGTGCAGCTGTGACCATATCATTTCCAATTTTGAATATCACGCATGCGCACGAGCATTCGTGGCAGGGCTTCAGTGGAATTCCTCTGGCTGGAATGTGCACTTCCCCAATCTTATTTTGATCTGACGCCTTAATCTGCCTGTCCTTTCATGCCACTAACACATTTTCTCTGAGAGCCCCTCTAGCCGCCTCAGTCTAGCCACTTTACTTAAAATGTAGAGTGGATGGCGTGTACATGGCATCTGAGTGTGGTCTGCTGCTCCTTCTCCATGTTCTCTAGAAATAGGACATGAGTAACCGCTCTACAGGAACAGTGTAACATGGCCGACGTTGGCAGCCAGAAGTGCTTACATGGCAATACACCACTGTGTGCCCTCGGTCTATATGGAACGGGATTGAACACATGTATTGACTTACAGTATTGGGGTATAAACATAGGGAAATGTTTGAGCAAAGCAGTAAATTTAAGGGAAATTGTTCCTTGTTAAGTCTATGAGCCTGAATGGAAGCTTGCACAGAGTACTAGCATTCCTGCCAGCCATTACAGCTTATTACGATAACTCTATCTTTCCAGGAGATAAAAACCTAGCCTTGTTGCCATTTGCCAGCTATTACTTTCGCTAATTATACTTAACTGCTTCGAGCTTATCTCCACTCCTCCTACACCATTGAGCAGTTATTTTTTTTTTCTTTCCCCTTAACACAAATTAGAGGTGGAGTGGGAGTTGGAAAGGGGGAGACAGATAAACAGCACAGGCAGAAGTTCATTCAAGTGTTATTGCATTTGTGACTTATCAAACAGTCTAACTGAAGCCTTCTAGGCACCTGCAGTCTGTTAGATGGATGCAGTTCAGAACAGCATCAGCACACATAATGACCTCGTCTGGCTGATGCTCAGTACAGTCTATAGTAGAGACACAGAAAGAGTGAATATCTTCTCAGTGTTACTGTAAGGAGTTAAAAATGAATACTGTGCATACAGAGGTAGGATACTCGGAAGTCATGCTGCTGCTGCTGCACAGTATAGAAATGTTCCAGTGTTGAGAGAATGGAAAACACACATGCAGACGTAG